TTAGTGCGGTAGAACATCTTCACATATTCTGCAAGTTCTTGCCAAAAGTCTCATTTGGTTCCTCTGTCTAAGGCTTGATAGCTGCTGTGTGTGTATTAAGAAAGACAAACAGGCAGACTAACTGACAGGAAAAGAACTCTCCTCATTTTTGAATTTAGCAACCTGGGAGGCTACCTAAAACCAGTGAGTTTCCCTGGAGGAATATTTGAGGAGCATGTAACCTCTTCCCATTAATGATTGCTTTGACTAGGGAACTACTTTTCTGAAAGCACATTTAAAGTGGAACTCTTACTTCTGGAATTTCTTGCATGCAGGTGTGTCAAACTTTTGGCCCTCCTATAAATCCTTCTCTCACCCTTTTGGTTTATAGTCTTATCAAAGGCTGAACCACCGCCTGGGGTAGCAGGGAACTCATTAGCTTCTGGAAGCACAGAGAGCTTTTTTTCCCTGTTGTTTCTTGCCCCCTGAGCAGACTAGTTTATGTATGAGCAAGTGAGAATGAACCTTTATTTTATTGCTAAATAAAGACATGCAGACGTTTTCTCCTTTGTTAAAAAATTGCCTAAATCTGGCATTCCTCACTTAAAACAATGTTCAGGATGAAATGTCTGCGATAAATTAGTAGACTGCTTTTTCATTCTCAGCTGACTTGTAAGGTCAGATGAGCTATGAATGCCACACCACTGACTTTGGGGTCAGAACTTTCTCATTTTCCGTGAACCTCCTTGGCTCCAGTTGCAGATGAAAAGGAAGCCAGCGTTGGGAATTGAACACTGTCGGGAATGATGCTTAGTCACAAGAGTTTGGTGCCTCTGCATGTTGGCTAAGAACCACCTCAGCATCTTGCAACCTAGGACTGGAATTATCTCAGGGTGCTAAAGAGATTTGAAAGAACAAACAACAAACAAAAGTAATATTTAACTCCCCTTTAAGTAACTGCCTGCATCTATCTGGGTAGGGCCTAGTGAACACTATAAAAATCAATGAAATGGTTTTGTTGAGCGCCCATTAAGGACAGCACTATAGTCGGCACTGAAGATAATTAGAATACTTATAAATTCTGGACACTGACCTCTGGAAGCTCCTTGTCTTTACGTGGAGAGCCAACACTAACATTCCTACAACAGGATCAAACTGTCCAAGCTGGGTAAAGTAACAGGTAAAACTGAATGGGAGTGACATGAATGTTCAGAGGAAACAGCGGGTAATGATGAGTGAATTCTGGGGTAGCTGGGGAAAACTCCCTGGTACAGATGGGACCCAAAAAGGCTTTTGAAAGATGAAATGGTTTTAGCTTGCAAGGGGACTTGACAATGCTTATGGAAGTTGACTTGACCAGTGAAAGGATAGCTGCTGAGGTGACATTCAGAGGCAATTATAATAATCCAGCCATGAGATGATGACAGTCAGGTTCAGGGTGGTAGCTGAGAAAACAGAGAGGAAAAAGATTTGTGAAAGATGTTTGGAATAAAACATCTGCCACATTTAATGTCTGATGGGCTTAAGAAGGATGTTCAGCAATTACATGAGGTTTGGAGCGAGGAGAAGAATGGGTGCTTTTGGTTAAGGCTGAGACATTGGGAAGATTAACTAGATTGAGAGTTTAGACTTCATTTCTGTTTTTTATGTTCTGGTGAGCCATCACTGTGGAAATGCCCCGGAAACATTTGGAGACGGGGTAAGAAACACTGCTCAGAAAATAGCTCCAGACAGAATTTTAAGAGGCATTGATCTAGAGAGAAAAGTTGTGGCAGTAACAATAAATGTACAGCAGAAGAAACTTACAGCACAAGGCAAAGGGCCAAGGTCTCAGTAAGAAAGAGCCCGGAGAATGGTGGTAGTGGTGGTCTGGAAAGGCAGCCGGGATCCAGCTATCCCTCTGAAAGCTGGGAGAGTAATCATCCAACCTCTTCTGGCCTCTCATTCTTGACTTTTTTTTTTTTTTGAGTCGAAGTCTCACTGTTAACCAGACTAGAGAGCAGTGGCATGCTCATGGCCACCGCAGCCTTGACCTGCTGGACTCAGGCAATCCTTCCGCCTCAGCCTTCCGAGTAGCTGGAACTACAGACCACGCCTGCTAATTTTTTTATTTATTGTAGAGACAAGGTCTCGCCGAGTTGCCCAGGCTGTTCTCGAACCCTGGATTCAGGCAGTCCTCTCTCCTTGGCCTCCCAAAGTGCTGGGATTACATGCATGAGCCACTGCACCCGGCTCATTCTTGACTTTTAAAAGCACTTACCCACCAGTAATATTATTTGATCTTCCCAGCAGCCTGGTGAACCTGGAGATGACAGAACAGAGCCCCCCGGGGATTTGTAAAAGTTTGATTTCTGGATAAAGTCCTGCACATGGACAGTGTACGGTAGAGCACTACTCATATTCACTTGATATCCTTTCACCTGTTGATTATGGCAGTTCTACTAGAGGCACAGAATTTCAGTAGCTTTCTTTTTCTGTGCTGTAATCTCTGCATTTGTGTAAGTGAGCACACGTTTATCCCTTATTTTGATAAGTGCTAGGCCCATGAATTTTTTCTATCCTTTTCTTTTTGCTTTAGTTTTTGGTACCTAGGGTTATATAAAACCAACACACAAAACTAAGCAATGGACTACTAAACAGACATTTAGGAATAGATCACTTTGTGTTGAGTTAGTGACAAGCAAGCAGAGAAACCCTTCCTTTGTAAGGTGATTTCTTTCTAGCGTTTTTATGACAGGTATATTTTTATGACATGCATTTGGAGTTTGAAGGCAGATTGGTTAAAACTTCCTGGTATTCTTTCTGCTCTGAGTTCCTCTGCAGCAGGAATATCCTGCAACTCCAAGCCAGTCTCTCATCTGGGTTCCTTGGGATACTCACAGATGGAGAAAAAAGGTCTGAGCTGGTTTAGGATTTTTTTCTAGCATAAAGAAATTGTCCTCTTAATTTATTTGTTGGCAGTACTAAAGAGGAAAAAAAAAACTTAACAGTGACTCAATGAGGTTTGTTGTTGTTGTTGTTTTTTTAAGTAAATAAAGAGGAATTTCTTACTCCCCTGTAGTGAACCTCAGATGTATTCCTCAGGAACAGGCTTTACATCTGTGAAATAGTTTAACTTTAACCACACTTGGGTCTTTGGGTTCTTTTCATCCTCAGGTGGAGACTCCAATTGCTGCATATCCACTATGCTCCAATACAATATTTATTTGATCAGAAACAAAAGAGTTTGCTTCTTGCACTGGTTCAGAGAGAGGTCCCCCAGGATTGTCTTTTGTTCAGTAATTGGAGCATAAACTGAGCCTGGTTAATTTCAAAGCTACCCCCACACACGTGCCCTCCCTCCTTCCTTCCTTGTGCAGTTTCTGAGCTGTTAGTGGTACCTTGTATTGGGTCTGGAACAAAAAAAGCTTGAATTGTTGAATGTTAGCTACAACTACTGTGACATCTGCTATGGCACTGAATAGCACTGTTGGTGCAGTTAATTTTAAGTTAGGGTAAGAAACAAAACTAGAAAGCTCTTCAGCTTTACAGCGCTTGTTAACACATGCACCTCCAAATTATGCTTTTGGTGTTATCACAATGAATAAAACAAAGGAAATCATGAGTTGATTTTTATGTTAGTAACATAAGTTATTTCATTGTTATTCACTGTCCAGACACCAGTGTGTTCCTGTGTTCATTCTTTTTCGTTTAGTTGAGGTTTTTGTTTGTTTGCTTGTTTTCATAAGGCAGAAATGTCTGAAACATCTCAACTCTGGGTATTTATTTAATTAGTGAAAATTTTGATGCAAGAATTGTAAATTAATTATATTAGTTGTTCTTTTCAAGTAACAATTCTATAACTTAGTTTTCTTCTTCAAATACAAAAATAATGGTGGTAGATGAGTAAGAATCTTAAGTAACCAAATTCTAGATGCAAAATAACCAAGCTAATAGTTGTATAAAAATGCATTATGAAATTGGCAAATGTTATATGTCTTTCAGGTTCTGCACTGTAGATGTTGGTTTTGCGACCAATGAATTGCAATCTTAGGGTCTGTGGCTTTTGTTTTTGAAGATGGAATGGTCTTTCTCTTTTCTTTTTGCAATCTGCACTGTAATGATGGCCCACTGCCTGACTGGCCTGACTTTAATCATCTAGTACCTGAGTGTTAGTGTAGCTTTATCTTTGCTTTTTACAAGCTTTCCTGTAATTGTACAGTTGTTTGCTGCGTTGAATTTCCTTCATGACAATGAAAAAAAAATTAGTATTTTAGTGAAGGCTTTAATTTTCAAGTTATACATTAAAACATGCAGGGAAAAAAATCCTTTTTTGAGAAGCACTTTTAAAAGTCATTGCAGTAGGATGGTAATATTCATTACTTTCACATCATATATTTTCCTCTAAATGTTGTGCAAAGAAGTGACAGTTGAGCTGAGCATATGTTAATAAAAGGTCTGCATTTTCCTGTGTCACTGACAGTTTCATTGGCTGTATATTCCTGAAATGCAAATAACCTCTGTTCTATTCAAAGCTATAATTAATCTGAATAGTTATTTAAACAGTATCAAAATCTTTTAACTACTAAGAGGCCAAACATTTAAGATGGCGAATTTACTGTTCTGCTTGAAGGACAGTACAATTGACAAGGGCACAATGATCTGAGATGCTTCTGTATGTTGTATCCACACATTCTGTAGACTAAAATGGCAGAATCTGTCTGCTGCTGTATAAAATCTTTTAACTACCATTTATTTTAGCATCATGGCATGTGCAAATTCCTGCTGCTCAGTTAAGGGACCAGCTTCACAACTGGTGTTACAATCTGTGGCCACAGCACTGCATCACAATGCAGCAAATGCATTTTCCACATTAACCAAACATGACAGCTGAAGCGATTATTAACCATGCAAGATGTCGGAAGTCATCAAAAATTCACATCAGAGTAATTGCAGTGGCTTGGGTCGGGAGAGAAAAAGTATCATAGCATTCTTGCCTACATGTTGTCTCTCCCCCTCTTAAATCTTAACTTGGTACAGTCCGTTAACAATAAAATACCCTTCTGTAACCTATAAACTGTTACTCCCCTCAGTTTGTGCTTTCAAACTGACGGCTGACTTCTCTGAATTTGTGTCGAGCACGACGAATGGTGATGCTCTGCTCTGGGGGCTGCAGTGTACCCTTTTTAAGGGGACTCTGCAATCTCATTGTCTAATTGGACTCTTTAGTGCTTCAATCTTATCAGCACTTGCAGAGGGGTCGTTCTTTTCCTGTTTCTTCTTTCTCTCTTTCTCCTCACTCCTCTCTCTTCCTCTCCCTCCCCCTTCCCGCATCACTCAATTCCGGCAGTTTGGGGTGGAAAAAACTTGAGCACTGGTTCTAACAGAGCTCATCCCACAGAGACGGTTTGGAAGAGCTGCAGTGACCGACAGCATCAGCCGGCTGCAACTCCCTAAATTTGAAAGCTGCAGGTAGGATTGCCTATGTTTTGTAAAGAAATTAAGATAAATGCACCCTGGTAGATAGAGTGACAGCATGTTGTTGCAGTACCTCTGAAAGACAAGATATTGGTTTGTTTAAAAATTGTGATATATTTGGAAGCAGTTAACTCATTTGGTAGAAAAAGTACTTGATTCTTCTAAGAATTGTTCAGATTTGTGCCACTCTAATATTTTTCTTTTTAAAAAGATATATTGGGTGAGGCAAAGAAATATTTGCTTAAAGATTTAAATAGTTGATTATTTAGGATTTTTGTGGGACTTCATCTTTAAGTAGCAAATAGTGTGGGCTTTCTTTAGGTTTTTAAAGGAGAGATGTGAAGTACAGAATTCTTGTATGAGGTGAAATGTGAAAGTAGAATTTCTTTTCCTTGCTAAAACCAGATCTTACTTTGGGATTGTAGCAGAGTGAGTGTGAGTGAGTGAGTGAGTGAGTGAGTGTGTGAGTGAGTGTGTGTGTGTGTGTGTGTGTGAGAGAGAGAGAGAGAGAGATGCTTTACCAAGGAATTCAGACATTTATATTTGGTGACTAGGGAAAAAGTACTGTTAGTGATTTCTGGAATTATCTCACAATAAATGTTTAAATTAGAACTTAATAACATCAAGATGGGTATTCTTAAGTATTATCAAATGTTGGCAATTTAAAATAGTTACTTTTTATTTCTTAAATTCAGCTTCAGAAGCATATGAGTCCTTCAAGTATATTTCACATTTTTGGCCTAGAGAATGTGATCAGTGTAAGTGAAGTGAAAACTTCCTAAGTCATGTAAGCATTATCTGGAGGGTAATAAAATTATAAATGTTGCCTGTAACATTTTTAATATCTTGATGAATATCAGAGATAAAATACTTTTAATTCAGCATTAAAAAGCAGCTTGTTTAGTCTTTTCTTAAAAGCAACAACAAAAAAGATGATATCTATAGCTTTCTATTCCAAGGGATGTATTTGTATTGTGGAACCTGTAGGGTCTGAGCCTCTTTCTGAAGCATGGACTTGGAAAATTGCTCACCTAGTTGAAGGATTTAGTTCCCTTCAGAGGTGCGGGACCTGCTTTACTCTTAACAATAGGAAGGCTTGAGGAGCTGTCAAGTGGGGAATAGAGGAGAGCTGCTCAGGGAAGGGAGAGGGGAACTGTGAGAATTTGGAGGTCTGAATTTCCCCACAACGAAGATTCCTTTAAAACTCTGACCCAGGGCAGCATTGCAAAGAATTGGTTTCTGAGATGAGACAATGAGCTGTGGTTTGCATTTTGTAAAGATGGAGGAAACCTCTAACACTGACCCTGTATAGGAGATGACTCAATTATTCGTGCTTTGGTACAATTGCAAATTATTTTCCTTTGTCTGAAGTGGGTGGATGTCAGCGCCTTCATCAGAGCTCCTTAATGTATGGAAAATGTCTCAGCCACCATTTTTAACAATTAGCTGTATCATGATTGAGGTGAGCTGGACTCTGAAGGCAGCTGCAGGGCCATTTCATTTTACATTAGGTTCTATGGCATAGGAGCTTTGTTACTGTAAAACTAAGAAAATGAATTTGCACACTGTATAGAAGAGTTCTTAGGAAGGTGGAGAACATTCCCAGAAAGAAAATGGAATCCTTTTGTCTACAGTAAGTATTTCTCATACTCATGTAGCGGTGAGATGTTGAAAATCTGTCTTTGAATGAGCAAAACAGACTTTTAAATGAACACTGCAGATATGAAAGGTGTAACATGGAGGTTCTTGGATATATTTTTTTAATGTATGTGTTAAAAACTAGTGTGATACATATACTTGAAATACAGGCTTATGAATGATTTCAGCATATGATTTTAATTAATTATTCATTACTAATTAAAGTTAATGAGAAGTATTAATTTATCACTAGTCACGGATGTAAATGACACTTAAGAGAAAAAAGAAATCTGAATATGGTAAATTTACAAGAGTTCAGGCTTCTTTTTACTGTCTTTTAAAAGGAGTGTGTTTTCTGTTCCTGAAAAGAATTTCTGGTTTTTAGTGTCTTATTTTTGTTGTTGTTTATAAAGAAAATGTTTCCATGTTAATGATCTATAATAGCTGATTAAATATATACAAAAAATGTTTTGACAAAACAAAATTTTGTCCTCAAAGATCAATAGATTGAGGCTTTCACTCTCACTCACAGGGATAATTTTTAGTGTCTTCTGCTTAATTAATAGTTGTAACATCAAAGCTGCTTGTGCAAAACTCTTGTTTGTAATTGTAAGCCTATAAATCTTGATTCTTAAAATTAATTGGATTTGATCCGGCTTATTTCTTTGTTCTTTTATGCTGTTACTAAGAGGAAACAAGTGGATTTTAACTTTGATTTGTGTGTTTCCTTTAAAGGCTGAAGAATTTTTCTTTTAAACTCTGAAGAATTTATAGTGAGTGTATTTTACAGTAAACTATATCATGAAGAATTTGCTCAAAATGCTTTAGTAGCTGTTTCAGGAGTTGAATCTTCACAGAATTGGGTATCTGAGAATCTTTTTAACTTGATACCAATTTTATAAAGCCAGCTGTTCTTCTAGCCTTGTGGTTGCTGCTGTTCATCCTAGTTACTGAAGGGTGTTTTCGCTAATTATGATGTTCAGAACTAAAGAGAGAACTATTTTCTTCACATCAACCTTTTCATTGACACAGGAAGATTCAATTGTTGTAAGCCCTGGTTAGAATCCTACAAAGATTTTATAAATCTGTAGTACAAATATTAACTTGCAGCATAAGAGCCTAGATATCAACATAATGTTTTAACCGTCGGAGGGGACAGCATTTATTATATTAATTGTTTAGCTATATGGTAGAATGCAAAGGGATTATTTTCCTTTGATTTGTATAAGGCTTGAACCTTGAAATAGAAGAGTTTTAGGGCAGCAAATTAGAACTCCATTTTAACTGCAGCTTTGCTTACATGTTTGGTTGGATGGCATGGGGGGTGTCACAAAGCCTTCCTTTGAAATTTTTAAAGGAAAACTTGATTGAAGATCCTGGTCTTGTTTCCTTTTGCTGGCTTTATGATAAAGCTGTGTATTAAGTACTCTGCGAAGGTAATAGAGACCCAGTTTCTTCCTATTTTCTTTGCTTCCACCATGATCTACTCAAGTTTGGCTGCTAGGAAGCAGCTCTCTTTTCTGGTACTTATAGGGAATTCCTGGAAGCTCTTCAGTTTTCTCATGAAATTTTAGAGTAGATGGTCGTAAAGAGTCAGGGGTTGGCCCTTTTCTGACAAAAAAAATTTACTGATAGCAAACCTTTGACTGCTCTGACAGTACCATACCGTAGATGAACAAGCATGTCAGCCAGCCCGCTAAGAAACATTTTGTGGCCCTAAGATGGCAGTGAGGAAGGAGTAAAATGGCGTCACCAGGAACACTGTGATTAGGGGTGAACCGCTGAGTGATTTTCCTTCAATCAAGTTTGAAGACACTTCTGGGAGCATTACTTTGCCAATTTACAGCTACTTTTTTATTGTTAGAAGATAGAAATTTTGAGATTTTCCAGAAGTAAAGACTTAATTAGCATAAATCTAGATGGCTTCAAATGTTGCTTTTAAGAAATTGATGGCAAATATGGTTAACATTTGAGAAGATATTTCATGTTAATACATCCTGAAATTCCTTGCTTTATGCTTTTTTTTAGTATAGAAACTCCTTCCAATAGAGGATGGATTTTTGGAAAACAAAGGGCAATATGCTTCTCCTTTATGGCAAGGTGAAACTGAAAATATAGTATTTGTCTTTGGTTTTCATTTTAGCTATTTGTGGGGTTTGATTATTTTAAATTTGAAATATATATGTCAGCTGCCTTAAAAAGCAAAGCTTATTTTATTTATAGATTATTTTGCAAGTGAACTATAGTCATAGTGATAATGACAATGCAAATTTCTTACCTGTTCCCACCGCTCTTGGAATTGGAATTTTTGGAGCTGGCATTAGTTTATGTAGTGCAATCAGCTCTTACAGTTAAGTAAAGCAAGGTTTACTACAGTTAAGTAACTTTCTCAAGGTCATACATCTGGGAAGCAATCAATTTTACCCTAATTCTGTGCCGTCTGACTCCTCATTTGTGCTATGCTGTGCCTCTGTCTGCATCTGCCTGCATTTCTTTCTCTTCGCAGGCTGACTGGTGACTGACTGAGCTAATGGATTGAACTTTCAGTAAAGTCTGTCTTTGCCTTAGCAACCTAACTCACAAAGAGGTTCCGTTTCAGCTGTGCCAGATATGACTTACTGAACTTGGTATGGCATCTTCCTGGGTCTGTGTTGAAGATGATAATAAGCATTTACAAATTTATCACTTACAAGCATTTAAAAATAAGACCTATTTTGCAAGTTGAGCTTTCAGGTCTCTCTTGTTGGCTTGGCATGAAGGGTGAAGTACTTGTCTCCTGGGATGGGCAGAGTTGTCACATTCATCTGTTATGAGCTGGGATGGAGCCAGGCATTCTGACTTGTCCTCCCAGAAAGTCGCATCTTTAACTCTAGGTGTTAGGGGCCCCTCAGTGCAGGATCTCCTGCTCCCTTCACAGTAAGAATGGTCTAGGTGAAAGGCTTTCACTCCTTGTTTGTTTTGGGCAATTGGTATTTGTGAAATGGTCTTGCCCACTCTTCTTTTGTTGCTTGTATTTTCATTCCAGCTAAGCAATGTTTCATGTTTTTCGTACCGTGGAGACAGTAGAGAGTGGTGCATTCTGCAGTATTCCACAGATCTGACAAGGTAAAGTCAAAATGTTTCCTAACTTAATTTAGGTTTTAGAGAATGTAAAATCACAAATACTGTTAGCAAAGGAATATCTTGACAAGTCCCATTTAAGACAACTTGAAGTTATAAAAGGGAAAGTCTCTTGTTTGCTTTAGTCTCCAAGCAAAAATTTTTTGTAAAAAGAATTTCTGAAAAAGAAGAAACTGCAGCAAAACCAGAACTCCCTTTTCTGTGACAGATTCGTGATGATTGGTGCTCCAATCCCA